GATCAAGCACTAGAACCAGAGATGCTTTATGAAATCCTGTCTAAGCGTTGGCTGGCCATGAGTGGTCTGCCAACACCAAAGACCAAGGTTATCGATCCGCTACCGGTCAAATCCCGGATAGCAGGCCAAGACGCAGAAGTCAGGCGGATGCTGCAAGCTGTTCAGCAGCAAAGCCTCCCCTTTGTGGTGAAATTATCTATTGCTACCTCGGGCTGTGGAACATTTGTTATCCGACGTGAATCGGATAGAGACACTGCTATGAATGAGATACGGTGTCTCCTCGAAGATGGGCTCAAGAAAGTCAATGAAGAGAATGAGCAACTGTACCCTGCAAGCTTCGTCATTCAGGAGCTAGTGCCAGGTGAGGCCCATGGGGTCACATTTTTCATTACCAAAAAGGGCCGTGCGGTGTACCTGGCCACGTCTCGACAGCGTTTCACCCAGGAGGGGTTCTGGAACGGTGGGTGCGTGTCGTACCTCTTGCAACCCATGTTTCAGGATCGGTATAGATCTACGATAGAGGTTTTGGCCAAATCATTGCACCAGAAAGGGTACTACGGGCCGGTGGGAGCCGATGTCATGACAGATGCAAATGGGGAGCATGTTATAGTCGATGTCAACCCACGCGTTACCGGATCTTACCATTTGGGGCTGCTCAAGACCCATTTCATGCAACGTGGGTTATGTGAAGCGGCAGTTCTCTCCCGCTTAGAGATTCCCTGCACGCAGAATGCTTTTGAGGAACTATTCGCGGCGGATATTGCGCAAGGAAGGTTGATAATAAACGCATGGGTCACTGATTCGAAAAAGGAGAGTAGTCATGCCGTCCTGACGGTGGGAGCGGAGGACGCTGTCAAATTGGGTCGGTTGATCCGTCTCATCGAGACATTTGTCAAGACGGGAGAATATGCTGAAAGTGCTGAATTATGAGTGGATGATAGTTGTTCAATTTGGCGTTTATTGATGTCTGTTGATAGAGGTAATCTAGCATAGTCACCAGCAGCATAGCCATCCTAGGCCCCTGCTTTCTTGATCGTCGCTAAAATGCTTCTCATCATAATATTCCTCATGATCCTCAAAATCATTCGGGTCATCCCTATACCGTTCCTTTTCTTTCTTGATGCCCCTGATCCACTCTATTTCCAATTCAAAATCCCCTTCCTGTTCCCCGAAGAAACTATCACAACCGAGTCAGCACTAGACCAATAGCCCCAGCCGAACCAACCAATGCAAAAAGGCACTCACCTCCGAATCATAATCCCAAACTGCTTCACCCCCGCCAAGATCAAGGGTCTCCCCATATGCACCTCTCTCCCACGATACGTCGGCCGAAACTCCTTCCATCCCAATTTTACCTTCTTCTCCCCCTTCTCGACCTTGAACTTCGCCTCCCAGACCAACCCGCTCCGTTGGCGCCCATCCGGTCGAGGATCCTGCAATTCATCCCTCAAATTTAAGGTATACGTGTGTCCATCACTTTTAGGGATAGAGAGTTCCAGCCCAGCGTAGCTACTCAGATCCCATAATTCGGTGGTGCTGGCTGTGTGTTGCGAGGCGAAGCCTGCTCCGCCAAGGGTCTTGATGTCGAGATTGCCGTGAAAGGTAGCGGTGTTGGTGTCGTCGTTGATGGTGAGGTGAGATTGCGAAGAGCCACCGCGCACACGGTCATCGGAGGAGGTCCAATCGGTGGAGGACCAACGTCTTTGATTTGGTGGTTTGTTAGGTGAGGTTGGACGTGATGGTTTAGATGGGTGGACTTACTGCGGTCCTCCGAAGAAGTAGGGGGAAGATGGCCGTTTGTTGCACATCTCTTGTGTATATGCGTTGCGTTCTGGTTGAGGTTGAAGGGGAAATATTGTGAATGTTTGGAATTTTGCGATAACATTAGAATTGTTGAGAATGGATAGAATGTGGATCGATCGATCGCCGCGGTCCGGACTCGATGACGTCGGTGCTTTGTATAGCTTCCGTTGCCGCACTTTATCGTTCGGGTTGGGTCGCGACGGGGCTAGACTTGTTTGAGTTCACTGTGTGAAGCTTGAATACTAAGTAAAATTGCATTGTCTTGAGGGGATGCGATATTTTGCGTTACTCTTTTTGCTGTAACTTCGGTTGCTATTGTAGACAAGGTGTTTCATGTCTTGTTGAGGATGTCGTGACTAGTTCTGCCCTACCTGCCACTGCCTTCAGGCTAGGTCTTATTATTCCTCATGAACCAAGCTATCTACTGTATAGGGCCTCTTCCATTGTCGTAGATCTTCTCAATCGTCAGTAGCGTAAAGGATGAACAGCAGTCATTCTAGAATACAATCCGCTACCGGGTAGTCACGCAATGAGGGAACTCTCATTGCAGGGCATGACTCCCTCGGTTCATCTGTGATAACGTCGCCCTGACGCAAGCTCGTAAAGTAGAAAGCCAGCTTGTGAAAAAAGACAAAGAGGTAATAAGCTTATCCGCCGGAACACGAACCGACTGTCGCTCTCCCGACGGACGCTAAATTTTGACGTCACTCGTCCGCCATCATAACCAAAGCTATATTAATATTAGTCTTAATGTCCTCGTTGCTTAGAATGTGCAATCCAAAGATATTGTGCTACTCACTATCTAGTCTGTCATATACCTAGTCCACATTTCTACCGCTCTCAAACACAATGGCTGCTGCTGGAGGTCTTACTGGCGGTCACCCGCCCTCTGTTCGGTATGTCACTGCTCTCTGCATTTTCGAATGTATCATGCGTGGTTTATTGACCAATGCAGCTCTCGCAACATTGCCATCTTCAGTGTGATCGGAATGATCGCTGGTGGTTGGATGTTCTTCCGCGCACAGTCACCCAGCAAGGAAGAGAAGCTGTATTCGCAGAAGGACGTCCATACCATGGTTGGCGGGCAGACAGGCGAGAACAGAGTTGGTCGTGCACCGAGCCATCAGAAGAAGGATTGATTCAACGTGTGGAATGTGTATGTCTGATCAAGGGGTGTATAATACGTATCAAATGAGCACGAGGGAGGCGTCTGGTGTTATGAGCTTGGATTGTGTGCATTTCAATTGTTGTCTTGATCTGTCAATCCCGGAATATACTATCATGATAATATCATCAAATTAATGGAGTGGATGCATAACTATCTGTCCTGAAGAGTGTGACTGCAGCTGTGTGCTTTTTTCTGTCCTACCCATCACTTCGACAGGCAATGATGCCCAACCCCGCTCGCGACCGTGTCGGTGGTAGAAGAGGTATCCACATTTGAATGTTTCACTACAGTAGTGGTAACGGGGATGTGCCTGTCTCTGACGGATGACATCCCAAGAGCTCTTCACGCAGCCTCTCTGGCTGTCTCAATCATTTCTTAACTATTTCTTGCCTCAGGCTCTGAGATAAGCGTCTCTTGTGATCCAACCAGCTAACCTTCTCTGGATAGACGATGTACCGAATAGGATTAGTGCAGCGCTAAATGCTGGCATCCGCACTCCCATTAAGCCGAATTGGGAAATCCGCGGATGATGGCTGGCTGACTTTCTCGGATTATCGAGGTTATGCACATCGCCTATACGCTCAGTCGTTGAAACTGATTATTGTCACCACCTTATTATTTATAGAAGAGACGAATAGTAGTCAGTGACTAAACTTGGGTTATCATTGTCTACTGCCAATCGTCGGATTATAGTAACATCCGCCACTGACTCAACCATGGGTGGCAACAAATATATATATCACCAATACTCCTCCTGTGAGTAGTAGGCAGTAATAGGAGTTCAATCCAGTGATACTTCCTCTAGATGATCAAAGCGACAGACGAAATAGTATAATCTGAAAGCATATGCATTCTCACTACACTAGTAGTTACCGGCATAAGGTATTGCAAAGAGTGGCCTCTCTCCCCGACGCATCCGCCATGCATTGGTTGAACGAAACAGTTCCCAGCAGTCATTGACGGTCCAACCCCACAATTGAAAGAAAGTCTCGGTGATTTCCCAGCCAGCGGGATCCCAAGGGTCTTTCCACACGATCACGCCCGTTTCTCCTATCCCCGTCTGACGTCTATGCCCCGACCGAGGTACCTGAGAGCGATAGCCGCACATATCCCGACACAATTGGCGATCGTCCATCAAATTCTCCATGAGAATGAGATTGTCGCGCATCCTAGGTATGGGAATGAGATCAAGCCAGGGATGATGGGGCACGGTTCGTTGAATCTCTGTGGGCTGTAATGCAGGTGGCAGGAGAGCCTCCCGACCGATTGTTGCTAGACATCGTGGTCCAATTAGGGCGAACATTGATAGCGCCTGTCAGCAGCCATATCTTTGGGATCATAACCCAAAATGTCAACATTGGCGTATAATGCCCGCAAAATGTTTAATCGAGTTATGCCCAAGCGCATATCGGCCTGTGGTGAGCCAGTTGCAAACTCAACATGCACCATGGCCTCTAGTTGTTGCAGGGTACTGCGGGAGTTTGCGGCAAACGGACCAAATGTACGGAGTTCATCCAAACATTGGAAATCGAGTCGATGGGGCGTCGACGCCGTTGTAGACCACGCATGATCATAGTATGGCTCAGATCTTTCGGGCAGCGCTTTAGCCAAGTGCTGACGGCGCCCTATCTGGATCGTCAGCCAGCCCACTCGGGAGAGACTCGTTCGCCAACCTACTTCGGGCCCTCTGATTTAACCTGTTCTGCAGCCTGCGCCTATCCTTGGGATCCGTCACACCGATCCACACATCCTCGAGTCTAAGCTCAATCTGCTGCGGCGGTGATGTGGAGTCGCGATGAGCAGCCGCATGTCCACCTACTGCTTCCCGCATGGTTGATCCACGTAGAGATGCGAGGTGCAAGATGAGTGGTAGCACTGCTCGAACTGACACTTAGAGAACGCTAACATGCTGTGTTGGAGGGGCAGACACTGGTTTGCGACGATGTTTTTCGCTCTCCACCGTTATCGCCGATCTTATGTCCGGCCCATGTCATCCACCGTCCCCACGGCTTGGCTCTATGCCTGCCGTTCTTATAGACGGCATCCTCCAAGTTCATGTAGGCAGTAGAACATATTGTATGCGACGACAACATTGAAATATTTTGGCATGAGACCGTCTTGCACATCAGATCGGTACCTGCTGGGTTTTATGATGGACCACATCTCAAGGCGCATATTCTGACATCGCACCGCTCGGCGGGCGGGGTGATTATTGCTTGACTCGGCTATTATATCAGAACTCCTTGCTTTTCAGCATTCGAGACAAACACAGAGGCGAGGGTTGTTGACCGGCCTTACCCTTGCTGCACTCAAATTCAGACGTACGCGAGGTCGGTGCAAGGGATGCATTACCCAAAGAACAAAAAGTGAGACCGATGAGTATGGTTATAATGCAACCTCGGCTCGGACACCCCAGAAGTGGTATTGGACTTGCCCATCCCAGTCTAACTGTGGGAAAGAGTTGTTTTTTTCCAATTGTTTTTTGCGCAGCGCGATCGGCAAAGTCCTGGCAGCCGACTACCATTAGCGAGAAAGTATCTAGGAACATTTGGTTCCGAAACATAACCAGACAACTGATTGTATATATGCAGCATTGGGTTGGAAAGGGCCAGCTGATCGGGACACCAGGGCGATCGGCATTGACCGCAGCTGAAGGTTTTGCTATCACTCGCTCGGACACCTTCTGGTGCAAAACAATCCAATCAGGAGCTAGATGCTTCTTCTTCTTTCCGAGTGTAGGTGAGCCATGACCATGGTTATTATTTCCACAATGCTTGTCGTGTATTGGCCTTGTCTTGGGAGCTTCCGTTGGAATTCTCACCCCCATTTTTGTCTGGACTAAAACCTTTGAGGCTGGCGTCCGCGGCCACTGGCCAGACCTTCTCTCTTGGGATAGAACTCCGTTCGCGTGGGCACAACAATCCACGCACTGACTGTGTTCGTCATCGTTGGGCCTCGTCCGGACCATACCACTGTGGATGCGAGAGAAGTATCTATCTGCGAACGTGGTATCAGAGAAGTTGTGGGGACCATGTCAAGTTTAGTAAAAGAGTGAAATTGGATGTTCTGTCACCTGCCAGCTCACTGAATCTCAGTGTTGCCCTAGCTGCATTCTACTAACCAGGATGTCAGCTGATGGGATTTGAAGACCTGTATCGGGGCACTACCCCACTCCAAAACACAGTCGCATCTTTTCACTCCAATAGGGAACAAATCAGCGTGGATTGATCACACGATTGCCATCCGCTGCAGGGAGTGACAAGGGCATGAGCGCGATGGCTCGCTGGAGAATACCTCTCGAAAAGCGGGGAATGTAGTAGCAATTAGCCCTGACCAGGATTCGGAGACTCGCGGCCAATAAGCTGAACTCCGATAATAGATAAACGTGCTAACAAGCTTGGAGGAGATGGTTGATCGACCATCGATTAGCTTCCATCCTTAGCCCCATCCCGGCCCCTCAGCGCTGTCGGCGATAAGGCCAGTCAACGCGGTGCTCCAGCACGCCATCCAACGCCAAAAGACAGAATCAACGTCGGACCACCTTAATTAATGGATTTAGTATAGAAGACGCAAGAGTCGACCCCAATGGTGTTTGGTAGGGCTCGTCAACCCTGAATGATTGCTGCCTGCCACATGGCGACAGCTCTGGTTAAAACTTCGCGCGTAATTCCAGAACTGCGCCGGAATATGCACAATGGTAATCCGGTGTCGGGCGCTCCGATGCCACCATCGAAAGTGGATATGACTCGTGGACTGAGCGGCATGTTATCACAAACCTTCACGGTCGGTGACACTGCATCCGCTAGAGCTTCACGGTCGGTCTTGGCCTGCTGGGGTTAGGAGCAAGGGAACCAATCTGCTAAGCGTCTCCTTCGATAGGATGGTGTGCTTCACCTGCGGGTTGTTATCATTTACGGTGGGACTATCGCCAGACCGCAGCTACTCCTGCCACTTTTTGTGGTACCTGCTCGATCGTTGTGGCAGATAAGATGCAGGTATCCGCGGGGTCTATGGGCGCTTCTGGGTAATATTATTGATCTCGGTGCATATCCACTACAAAGGCTTGCTCGTTTGGTCACTCCTGCGCCAAACGTTGTCCTCTTTGTTACTCAGGAGGCAGCAGGCATGGATTCGGTTCATCATCCAGAGAATGAGGCCAAAGATGCCATCGAGACTAAGCAAGCTGGTGTCACCGACGTGGATGCCGAGCTGCTCGAGGAGAATGATGACCTGAAAAGGCAGAACATTGTCGCCGAACAGAAGGAACTTACTCCTCTCGAGGCCTTCAAGTGGAACGTTGAGGGGGATCAATCACCCTGTGAGTATTGCTGGCCTGTTTGACCGATATTCTTCGTTTACTGATGGCAGGTGTTCAGTTCCAGAAGTCGCTGCCTGTGTGCCAAACACCGATGACCCTACCTTACCATGCAACAGTCAGTCAATCCCTTCCAGGAGAATGGAGGGGTGTAGTGGTCAACATACTGATGTGACACAGCATTCCGGGCATGGGTTCTGACCACGATATTTGTTATGGTCTTCGCGGCAGTCAATCAATTTTTCAGTCTGCGATATGTACGTGAGAACCTCCATTCGTAAGTCGTGTCTGGAACTGACTGTTTAGCCATCCCTCACTGTTCAATATGTTGTCGCTCAATTACTCGTTTACCCAATCGGACGAGGATGGGAGAGGCTGCCGCGATGGAGGATACCTCTTGGAAGATTGTCCTTTGACCTGAACCCGGGGCCGTTCAGCATCAAGGAGCATGCACTCATTACCATTGTAAGAGCCATCAAGTATACAATGGCGTTTGTACCTCAAAGACTGATCAAACCAGTGTGTGAACATCAGTGCCTCAATCGCCTACGCCTCCAGCTCTCTCGTAGCTATCGTCATGCCACAATATTGGGGCAAGGACTATGGGGCGGGATTCTCGTTTCTATACCTCTTGACGTCGCAAATGATGGGGTAAGTGTCCTAAGTGTACTTCCTACCAGCACACCTGCCTGACAATATAGGTTCGGCCTTGCTGGCATGTGCCGCCGTTGGCTCGTCTATCCTGCAGCCTTGATCTGGCCTCAATCTCTATCGTCCACGGTCTTGTTCCGTGCCCTACATGAACCGCAAAATACGGCACCCGCCAATGGTTGGAGACTGAGTCGGTACAGCTTCTTTGGGTATGCGACTTTGTTTGCCTTTGTCATCTACTGGTTCCCCGACTATATCTGGACAACTCTCAGCGCGTTTGCATTCGTCACTTGGATTGCGCCGCACAACCAGAAAGTCAACACAATCTTTGGTGTAAGACTTCGATACCGCATGCTTCAATGGGCTCGCTAACATGGGTAGATGAACTCGGGTCTGGGGCTGCTGCCTCTCAGTCTGGACTGGACGCAGATTAACTACGCCGGATACCCTCTCATGACCCCGTTCTACATTACCTGCAATGCTTTTGCCGTGGTAGTCTTTTTCTACCTCTTCCTCTCCCCAATCCTATACTACAAGGATGTCTGGTTTAGCGCATAGTGAGTGCCCAACATTGAATACACATGGAGATGTCTGTTAACAGCATGCTCAGCCTTCCTTTGCTCTCTTCTTCCACCTTCGACAACACCGGAAGCGAATACAATGTGACCCGGGTGGTTGACTCTAACGGTGACTTCGTGCTCAGTAAATACAAAGAGTATTCGCCAATGTATCTTTCCATGTCGTACACGCTCACCTACGGCTTGTCCTTCGCGGCGGTGACAGCCATCGTGGTGCACACCTACCTCTACAACGGATCGGAGATCTGGGCTAAGTTCAAGAACGCGCGTCACGGGGGTGAAGACATCCATCGTCGCTTGATGCGTGCTTACCCTGAAGTCCCGGACTGGTGGTATGGCGCGTTGTTCGTTGTCATGGCAGGCCTGGGGATCCTCACCACAAAGTATTGGGAGACGGGTCTGCCGGTCTGGGGTTTTATCGTGGTGTGCTGCGGAATGGGCGTGGTCCTCATTGTCCCAGAAGGCATCCTTGAGGGGACAACAAATCAGCGTATCTTTCTCAATATCATCACAGAGCTGATTGCCGGGTACGCCTGGCCGGGCAAGCCCATCGCCAACATGATGGTCAAGTGTTACGGATATAATGCCGTCAAGCACGGGATGGACTTTGCTCAGGACCTCAAAATGGGGCAGTACATGGTGTGTCTAATCGATCGATAGCACGCTGCAAGTATTAACAGGTCTAGAAAATTCCTCCGCGTGTTCTGTTCTTCGGACAGATATATGCCAGTATCCTCGCCACGATGACTCAGACAGGAGGTAAGAATATAAATACCTAGCAATGAACTCAAGCTAATTGGCGCAGTGCTCCGGTGGATGATGGGAAATATTTCTGGTCTATGCGACACCGACAATGCCCAGCGATTTACCTGCGCCGGCGCCAAGGTGATGTACAACGCCAGTCTGATCTGGGGTACCATTGGACCACAGCGGATGTTCCAGTCCGGGCAAGTCTATCACTCGTTGATGTACTTCTTTCTCATTGGTGTATGTTTGAACCGCTCCTCATATGTTGTATACTTGCTGATAGCTCTAGCCCGTTGTAACGGTGATTGTGTATCTGATCTACCGACGTTATCCGCAGAGTTGGGTCAAATATGTCAACGTACCCATTTTCTTCAACGCTGCAGGAAACATTCCTCCTGCCAATACTAGTCCGTTTGCTCCTTCATACCATCCGAGCATACAAAGAAATGCTAACATGGCCCAGCACAATACTCGCTCTGGTTCATCTTCGGATTCCTGTTCAACTACCTCATTCGCAAACGTGCCCTGGCTTGGTGGAAAAAGTACAACTGTAAGTATTCCCCGTTTACCAGTGAGACGATCGCAAGTACTCAAGGCTCATCACATAATAGACCTCTTCCAAGCAGCGATGGACACTGGCACGGCTATCGCTACCATTGTGATCTTCTTCGCCCTCGGGTACACGAACACCACCTTCAACTGGTGGGGAAATACGGTGGGATCGAATACCGATGATGAGAACTCGGTGCCATGGCTGACGGTGCCTGCCGGTGGTCACTTTGGCAAGGGGCCTGGGGAGTTCTAATAGATATTGCCCATTAGGGGCACACTGTGGTGGGGTAGCATTGTTGATACACTGCCGACACAAATGTCAGAGTGGAAGATGGTTGCCCCGTGGAATTAGTATAACCTCCATGTATGAATTTGAGCGATGAGATCAATAGTGATTATACAATAAGATGATATGTTATGAATCCAGGTGCCTATCGCCTGGAGCAAGGTTAAGGAGCAAGCAAACAAGATACCAGCGAGATGAGTGGAGGCGTGGGGAGGATGGTAGAGAAATAGCACAATCAAGACAAGGTATACTTATTCTCCGATAACCACACATCTACATTATGTATATTGAACGATAATAGATAACCGCCGAGCAATCAGAAACTGCCCTGATCCGACGGAACCGAGTCCAGTGACGCTCTGACAACCACATGGATTGATGCAAATCATCCCAGCCAATGAAGACTTATCCGTCAGCCGCATGCGTAAGGCAGTGACATCAAATTCTCCTAAACCAAGTGATTAGTTCAACCCACTTTGATCCCTTATCAACATGTCTTCTCTTTGTATACCAGAAAATTTTGTCTGCCCAACGCCTATCCTCGGATATCCTCGGTTGGTGTCGGGAACAGCCACAGTACCGAGCGGCTAGCCGTTGCACGAGCCACAACGCCGAGAGTATCCGCTGTCAAGTTTGGAGGGTATTCATCCAGGGCAGACACTATGATTGGCTCCATGCCATCAGGAACGGAGTTGTGGCTGGTGCATCAGGGCCAGAAGGGAGTATCCGTAACGGCGCGCGGAAAAAGATGGATCGGGGGGACAAGGCATTGTTGGTGTCTCGGGCTCGGGATGGGTATGGTGCCATGGCCAGAAGGTCATAGAACTGTTATGAAAACCCTGATAGTGGGTGTTTCTCCAGTATGGCAATGGGGCCCTAATGAAGTGGATTCTTTTTTTTCTCTTTCTTGCTGGCTAGTTTGTAGCATGGGGCTCTTTAGTCACTGATACTTATATTTGGTGGTTTCCGTGTCTCTTGCCCAGGATGATTGTGAGAAACGAGCGTGTTGTTTCACTAGTTAGTCTGCAGAGTGCAGTGCTATCGGTAAGCCATGGAGCACGTTACCGAACACACCAAAGAAATCTCTCCGATTCATACCTCCGATAGTGAGGATTACTCCGACGATCATCCCGATGAACATCCCGATTCCCTTGAGCTTGCTCGCATCAACACATACCGTCTGCAACAACGTGCTACCGTAGGGTCCACGAGAGGCCCTGAGCCTCGCCAGGAATGGCTGCCCATGGGTGCTGGGAAAGAGTACCCGCCCTCACTTCCTGACCCGGAGAAATATGTCGTCGAGTTCGATGGTGCAGATGATCCTCTTCATCCTTGGAACTGGTCTATCTTGCGGAGGTGAGTGGAGATTCAACCTGAAATAGGTCCTGCTGATATCAAAAACTCATCACTGATCGCTTGTAGAACTGTCCTAGTCGCCATACTCTGCTATTGCACCTTCGCCACAGCCTTCACCAGTGCCGTTTTCTCTGCCGCCGTCAGTGCCGTCAGTGAGGAATACCACGTCGGTCGAGAAGTCAGCACCCTCGGAGTCACATTGTACGTTCTCGGATTCGCTGCCGGACCGACTATCTGGGCCCCTGCCTCTGAACTCATCGGACGACGCTGGCCGTTGTCCATTGGCCTCTTCGGATGCGGTATCTTTACCATCGCCTCTGCCACCGGAAAAGACATTCAGACCATCATGATCAGTCGTTTCTTCGCTGGTCTGTTTGCTGCCAGTCCAGTTTCACTTGTCCCCGCTGTCTTTGCCGATCTGTTCAGCGCAGCACACCGCGGAGTTGTCATGTCGATCTTCTGCATGGCAGTGTTTATCGGCCCGTTCGCTGCGCCGTTTGTGGGTGGGTTCATCGCCATGAGTCCGTTGGGATGGCGCTGGACCATGTACATCTCGGCTATTATGGTCTTCCTTGCCTTTGTGTTGGTTTTCCTCTTCCTCGATGAATCGTATGCACCTGTCATTCTGGTCCGCAAGGCTGCTGTCCTCCGTCGACAGACCCGTAACTGGGGCATCCATGCCAAGCAGGACGAGGTGGAGGTTGACATCAAAGAACTGGTCAGGAACAACTTCACTCGTCCGTTGAGTATGCTTATCACGGAACCGATCCTGCTTCTCATCTCGTTGTACATCTCTTTCGTATACGGTCTTATCTATGCCCTTCTCGGTGCCTACCCGGTTGTCTTTGATGACGTTTATGGGATGAGCGCCGGGGTGGGAGGACTGGCCTTTATCGGTCTTATTCTGGGAGAGCTAGTCGGAGGTGTCTTCATCCTCTGTCTGCAGGGGTCTTATAAGCGCAAGCTGGCGGCGAATGGAGGCAAGCCTATTCCCGAATGGCGTCTTCCGGCTGCTATTGTCGGCGCTGTTGCGTTTGCTATTGGCATGTTCTGGTAGGTGGTTTGACTTCTTATAATTATGGTGGATGATACTGACAGTCAGCAGGTTCGGTTGGACCGGTTACACCAACAAGATTCACTGGATGGCTCCGACAGCAGCTGGTATCCTGATCGGGTTCGGCATCCTGTGTATCTTCCTGCAGTGCTTCAACTATATCGTTGATTGCTATCCCACTTTGTAAGTAAAATCCTCCTGCAACTCATGACCCTCTGCTAACGAGAGCAGGGCTGCATCCACCATTGCGGCGAACACTATCCTCCGATCAGCCGTGGGCTGCGTCTTCCCGTTGTTTTCGCGGCAGATGATGGTCAATCTGGGCGTGCAGTGGGCAGGCACTCTGCTGGGGTGTATTGCAGCCATTATGATTCCCATGCCTGTTGCATTCATGATATTTGGGCCTTGGATCCGTCAGCGGAGTAAGCTGGCTGCGTCGCCGGCTCGCGATACGGAGAAGGCCAGTAATGCTTGATGTTGTTATGAACCAGCAATTGTACATAGAATAGATTAATGATGTTCATGTTTCCCCAAAGTTGTATTTTTGTGGCTCGGGGACATAGTATTACAGCTCCCTTGGTTTGATCCTGGCTTTTCAATGCGACCTGCGGGGGTTCCCTGCATTACCAGACCGGCACAGCTGTCGGGGAACAGCCTTCTCCCCGGTTTACCCTTGCTCGGGGGAGGGGGCATAGCCAGTTCGCCATGAAATTCAATCTTATTGTCCGGCAGGGGTAAGAATGAGGCTATAGTGCGGTTCCCTGTCATTTGCCAATACCGATACAACAAAGAAACTGGGAGGTAATACTTGAGTTTGTGGTAGTTGTCAGCTGCTCAAGACCTGAAACTATATATATCTTATCGTGATAAACCAGAGCTAAAAACGGCAGGCAGTACGAAACACTCCGCTGTCTCAGCTGCTGATTTGCAACGAGACTGGCCTACAAAGCGCAAAAGGATTAGTATTCGAGTATGCACAAGTTCGTCATGAATGAGAACTTCCACCGAAATGGTTGCTGAATTGAGATGGTCAGCATGCATGGGACACGGCAGAGAAAGAGTGACGGGATCCACTCTGGCTTGCACAAGCTGATGCTGCTGGCCCCCAATCCATTGATTTCATGCGCTGGCCAACTTTAGCTCCTCCACTCACAACGATGATCCAAATGGCCTGGATAGCTGATTGGGAGGAGCAAAGAACACCTTTTTGCGCCTCAACATAAGCCCCCCGCTAGTTAAGATAACAGAGAGTCAAAATGTCGATTTTAAACCACTTCCCCCACTTGAACAGAAAGTTGGATTTTTCTGTTTTTGCGTCACTCTGCTCCTCTATCGCGAAGTGATCTCATCCATCGATTTTTTTTGCCATCATTGCTGGGAACAAAAGTATTGCAATCATGCCGCCATTTGAGAAGCTCCGGAAAATGCACAGCCCTTTCCCGGGCTCCTTTCGCAGTAGGCGCACCCCCCTGTTTATTACCACACACAGCGACGTCGGTTTGCGTTCTGCGGTTGCTACAGGATGCAGCGACTGACCAACAATTCTTGCAGGTGAATGTAACAAAGCCGCCCAGATTCTAGACGCCTTTACGAACCCATTGAACCCAGATGGCCGCGATAGTCTCATTCCCCCGAAGATCCTTGGAGCTGCCAAGGCAAGTGGCATTACAACGGTCGCAAATACTCCCCACGCCATTGACTAACCGGTCGAGCGCAGGGCTTCGCAATATTCTCCGTGTCAAAATTGGGTATCGTTGGATCAGTACGAATGGGCTCGGGCATCTTGATCTCCCGACTCGAGGACGGCGACTGGTCTGCGCCTTCGGCCATTCTGACAGCGGGAGTTGGAGTAGGGTCCCAGGTGGGCTTGGAGGTGACCAATTTCGTCTTCGTCCTCAATACAACTAGCGCCGTTCGCACATTCGCCCAGCTGGGGAGTTTATCCCTGGGAAAGACTGCCTCATTTGCCATGGGCCCATCGGGGAGATTTGGAGAAGTCAACGGGGTGGTCAGTGCCGGTGGAATGGCGGGCATCTTTGTCTACGGTCATAATCAGGGTTTCTTTGGTGGCTTCAGCACCGAAGGGAGCATGATCTTCGAACGCCGTGGCGCAAACCAGAAGCTATACGGAAAGAAGATCAAGGCGCGCGATTTGATCGAGGGCCAGTTTCCACCCCCAGATGAGGCGGACGAATTGATGCGCGTCCTGCGCTCCGATCTCTTCGCTCCTCGACCAGAATTGTATGCGACCTCCTCCGCATCCACAAAGGGTTCTATTTCTTCTGGACGACCGTCACAGTCCTCAGCAGGGACTGATATCCAGAAGATGCCCATTGAGATGCCCGCTGATGAGATCGTCCGGTTACCCGCCGAACTGCCCGCCGAATTCATCGCCGAGCTCCCAGCAGAGGTGGTGCCGGACATCTACTACGACAAATCGGTCGGCTCGTCGGAGACCCTACTGCCCGAGTTGCCCTCCGAGACAGCCTCGTTGCGGCCTGCGAAGAGTTGATCGCCTCAAGGAGAGGAACAGTACATATAACAAGGGAACATCACTCAGATGTTGAACTCTCGGGAGGCAAGTCCCTCCCAGCACGGTCGGGCCTGCAGGAATAGCAGTGAATAAACCCCGGCTGGCCACGATCGGACCTCTTGTCACAGTTGCATGCACGATGCACACTGGAGTACTATCCAGGAAAGGGATCTCTATCTTGCAGCTAATAGTTGCTGTTGGATCGTCCCAAGTAACTAGCCACATCCTCTTGGGGTAAGCAAGAGCGGGTGATGGCGTGCATGGGGAAGAATGGGGAGCATGAAAGTGACACACGGCGAGCAAGCTGGGACAGTGACTGTTACATTATTATCCTAGGTTGATATATAGCAGTGAAAATAATCATAAACAATGTGATGGTGGGTGCGAAGCAGACAAAGAGAGGCCAGTAATCGGTGCTGGTTGTGTTAAAATCAGACGCCGGTGAACATCCGCAAGATGCGACCGTGGGTTTCATTCTCCTTCTGTCTTCTGTGCCCTCGGACCGCGCCCGATTC